ATAGAATAGAATAGAATAGAATAGAATAGAATAGAATAGAATAGAATACTTTATTGGCGAAGTGTGATTGGACATACAAGGAATTTGTCTTGATGTAAATACTCTCAGTATACATAAAGAAAAGATACATTCGTTAAGAATAAAGAATCATAACATACAACGCTTAATGAAGTCATAGGGTACAATCAGCAATCAAATCATACTAGGAAACAGTCAATATAAATCGTAAGGATACAAGCGACAAAGTTACAGTCCTACAATCACAAGTGGGAGGGGATGGGTGATAAGGAGTAATGAGAAGATTAACAGTAATATCTTTCCCTATTGGCTCTCCTGTTATGAATGTCAACTCTGGTTTCTGTGTTTTTTTTTTGAAGGAAATTGCCTTTTATAAGGTCATTGATTATATTTTACATGGAAAGGAAGAAATTAAAGTTATCCCGTAAGTAAAGTAAAATAATTGCAGGGGCGGCATTGATACAAAGTTGTATGCAATCAATTCCTTCAATCTAGTCTACAGAATGTTGTTGCCTAGTCAGACTCTTTGCCAACCCATGGACAGCCCCTCCCCACCGTCCTCCACTGTCTCTTGGAGTTTGTCCAAATTCATGTTCATTGCCTCAATGATACTATCTAACCATGATTCTACAAAATACGAGATCATTTTTTAATAAAGAGTAAAAATAAATAAATCAGGGCATGGTTGTGAGTACCACCCTCTCCATGATGCCCCTCAGATATATTGACATTGTATTTCCAATTAGCCTAATTAATTGAGCATTATTTGGGAATTTCTAGAGTTATTGTCTTTACCATCTGGAGAGCCTCAAGCTGAGAAGAAAGAACTGGAGTGTTGTCACTGAGCTCAGATATTCACTCACTTATAAAGATAATTAACTCTCAACCTAATATGTTTTACACCTTTTTATGAGAATAAGTGATACACTGCCTCTCTCATTTTGGTGTGAAATGAGGTTCTTTATGTGTTTGTGTGTGTGTGTGTGTGTGTGTGTGTGTGTGTGTGTGTGTGCATGTATGAATTCAAGCACAGGTTTTATAATGAATCTGTAGCTAATAAAAAGTCTACCATGTAAGTTAAGATAAATATAGATATTGTAAAAGTATCAATGAAGAAAATTAAGCTGAAAATGTATCTATTGCTGGAACACTCCAATGTAACTGTAGAGCAGGGGTGTCAAACTCAAGGCCCGCAGGCCAGATCCATCCTGCGGGATGCTTAAATCTCGCCCACAGGGCCGCCCTGGAAACAGTGAAGGACCAGGTCGCAGTGCCTCTGCCAGCAAAATTAAGCTCCATTTCATTGGCAGAGGGTTACAGGAGGCCATCACAGCCGAAAACAGAGCTCAGGAGCCTGTTTTCACTGGCAGAGTGCTCAGGCCGCCACAGGAGCCCCTGACACAAGTGATGTCAAGCTGGCAACACCCACCCCACCCCCGAGGTCAAACACAGCCCTCATGCGGCTGTCAATGAAGTCAAGTTTGACGCCTCTGCATAGAGTAAAAGGAAGGAAGAAGTAATATATAGCATCTTTGCATAGAACCCATTCTTTTTCTATCCAAGCCTAATTTTTCAATTTCATTTTTTTTAATTTATTTAGAAATCCCAAGGAAGATCACTGGGCACTGAGTAGTGGCCTCCCTACTTATGTAGCAGAAACTGGTTTTGTAAGTGTTTATGTTGACCTCTTTGCATAACTCAAGAGTACTTTGGCTAAGGACTAAAGATCTATGTGATAAATTCTTCATGGATAACCTGGGCTTATTTTCCGAAATAGGAACTATATTTGAATCAAAGAGAAGTTTCAAAAGCCACTCATGGTGTGAGGATGGTCTGAATTTTAAAAAAAGAAATATGTATAAATTCTTGGATCACAGCCACAAGATGTCAATCATATGTACTTTTAGTTTTTATTTAATTTTCAAAATAGCAAAATATATATTGACATATTTTTTTCTGCAATTTTTCAGATTTGTAATATTATGAACATAGCAGCAGATGAAATGTTTACATTTCAGGTATTGTAAGCCTGTTCATAAGAGTTTTATATTTGTTCTGCTGGTGCCAGGTGTGAACAAAGAACAGAGTTCAAGCTATTTTATTACGTTGTGCCTATAACACAGTTTGGCCTGGGGACAATTAGACAAAGTTACAAAGAATTTAGGGAGGGTTAGTCCAGTGGTGGGATGCTACTGGTTTGGTCCAGTTCTATAGAACCGATAGCTGTGAAGAGCAGCTGACACTGAATTGATTCAGTGTTTGGCCCACCTGCCTGCCTGGGCTCTAGGCTGTCCTTTATTCCCTGCTTTTCCCTCCTCCGCTACTTTGCGCAGCACAGCTGAGGTTGAAAAAGCAGGAAACAAGAGGATTTTCAAATGCTGTGCACCTGGGCGCAGTGCTTGTCAGCTGTCCAGGTGGCACAGCTGATGATTTCTTGCAAATGCTGCACACATGCATGTTATGATTGTTCGCAGTTTGGAGAACCAGCAAATTGCTCCATTGGCTGGCCCCTTCCCTCCCCACCCACTCACTCCTTACCTGGTATGTGAGCCATCCAACTTGCCTGGTTTGGTAAGTTCTATTTTTCCCTTTTTTTCCTCAACCATCAGCTATTCTGCTCTGCTGGGAGATTTAGATTAGCTAGAAAGAAGGAAATCCTTGGATTTCTTGCTTTCTAGATAATCTAAAAGTAGAGCTGAACCTTCCTTAGGACTGAAGCTTTTCAGTGCAGACTCAGGTAGCCGATTGCAGATAGATAGATCTCTAAGTGAATCTGTGATTCTGTGAGCAACTCAATCTGCCTGCCTGGTTTGCCTGCTTTTGGGTAAAAGTTGTTTTTTTAACAAAATAAAAAATTCAGTATTTACATACGTGGTGTGTTGTGAGTTAATTTTATGAGTTTGCTTGCTAGCAAATTTTATGTGACAGACTCAAGTAGCCAGTTATGGATAGATAGATCTCTAAATTAATCTGTGATTCTGTGAGCAACTCAATCTGCCTGCCTGCTTTGCCTGCTTTGGGGTAAAAATCGCTCTCTTTTTTAATAAAAAATTCAATATTTACATAAATATTTATAATATTTACATACAAGCCATGCCCAGCCAGTCACATGACCACCAAGCCACACCCACAAATTAGGCCATGCCCACAGAACCGTTTGTTAAGAAATTTGAATCCCACCCCTGGGTTAGTCCTAGACTTTTTGAAGTCGTGCAATGACTCCAGGCTAATTTTGTGCTTGATTTCCTCCTCTCTGCCAGGCTGGGTGCTTCCCAACATCTGGCAAAGGGACTGTCTATATGAATTTGACAACCGGATGTTCTTGAAATCTTTTGAACTATGGGCTATAGCTTTTACCTATTTTGGTCAACTAACATGGTTTCCCTTCTCCCCCCCACCCCCCAATTCATGTTAGAAACACAGTTTAAAATGTTTCCAGGTCGAAAGGATTAGACGGTGACATCATGTGGGGCTTCTTTCATGTCCGTGACAAAGAGCTGGAGTGAATGATGGGAGTTCACCTCATCACTCAACAGCACTTGAGTCCTAAAGATGGGCTTGCTAAACTCCAATCCAGCATCTTAACCACGTGGGGCCTCTGCGCTCCTTACTAACATATAGTCAGTCTTCAGATTAAAGAGCAAATCATCTAGAGTAAATCAATTTGTCTTATTTCTGTAAAAATCATATTAAAAATAAAATATTGCACACATTTGTTTTAGTAACAGATTTGCATCATATAAATAGTTTTTATTATTGCTAGATCCGCAGGTTAGCCCTACCTCTGTTTTATACTGACATGTTGGTGTTTTAAGAAAGGTCCTGTTGATGAATCAGGATGGATCATCAAAAATGTTCTCTCAATGCCAATCGTCAACAAAAAAGAAGAAATTGTAGGTGTTGCTACATTTTACAATAGAAAAGATGGGAAGCCCTTTGATGAACAGGATGAAACACTAATGGAGGTAGGCATAATTAATGGATATGAAAAAATATAATGTGTGTTTCCCGATTACATATATAACTCTGCAATGGCTAATTTAACTTCCAGTGTGACAAACAGAATAAACCAACCCATTCAGCACAGATCCATTTCTTGAGTTTTAACCTCATATAGCACATAAAGAAACATTGGGCTGAGAACATCTAGTGAATAAGATTAAAATTAATAATATTATAAATAGTGGTTTCATATTATTCCTAATATACATCTCCTTTGTAGATATTTTTTTGTGTGTGTCCCACTTCTTTCTTTATATTATAAATATAATATTATAATGTTATATTAATATTGAACTGGCCATTGGCCATATTCTGAGGAATTTTGGAAGTTATAATCCTCTAAATGTCCTCAAACACATTTACAGGATGCGAATTTGGAAAAAAGCTTTTCTTTTCTATTATCCTGATATCTTTCACTTATCTAAACTCTCATCCTTCCTGTTTCCTCTTATCTTTCTGTTTTTTTGCCTCATATGTAATTTGTTTTCATTTTGAGCTTAAATTCTATTTGGGACTCCTTATCAAAGAAATAGTCCCATAACTTCCTGGATGAGTTATTGGGTTTACACAGTCAACTTTATTAACAGATTATGACTGAACAGAACAGTATCATCAATCCTGCTATCCAAAAAATTATTTGATATTACTGCTAGGTTTTTTTTTAATTTGTTATTCTCTGGCATCACCTTGAGCACTTCATTTACACATGAAAAGGAAAGTGGTCATATTCAAACCCATAAAACAACAACAACAACAACAACAACAACAACAATAATAATAATAATAATAATAATAATAATAATAATAATAATTGAAAGTTCAGAGAACAAGAAATGGTCAGAGAAAAATCCTGTTTAGTAATAAAATATCTTTGTTTTGTTTTTCAAGTCCTTAACACAGTTTCTGGGGTGGTCTGTCCTCAACACTGATACTTATGATAAGATGAATAAATTGGAGAATAGAAAGGACATTGCACAGGATATGGTGCTTTATCATGTACGATGTGACCAGGAGGAACTTCAAGAGCTCTTGGTATGACTTTTAAAGATTTGGCTCTGTTCTAATTCACTCTATTTCCTTATTTCTTGGTAAATTCTGTTTCAACTGTAAGAGGGATCTTGGAGTCCTCGTGGACAACCATTTAAATATGAGCCAGCAGTGTGCTGCAGCTACCAAAAAAGCCAGTATGGTTGTAGGCTGTATTAACAGAGAGAGAGAAAATCAAGAACACATGAAGTGTTAATACCACTTTATAATGCCTGGTAAAGCCACACTTGGAATACTGCATCCAGTTTTGGTCTCTACAATGTAAAAAAGATGTTGAGACACTAGAAAAAATGCAGAGAAGAGAAACAAAGATGATTAGGGGACTGGTGGCTAAAACATAAAAAGAACTGTTGCTGGAATTGGATATGTCTAGTTTAATGAAGAGAAGAACTAGGGGTGATATGATAGCAGTATTCCGATATCTCAAGGGTTGCCACAAAGAAGAGGGAGTCAAGCTATTCTCCAAAGCACCTGAGGGCAGGACAAAAAGCAATAGATGGGAAACTAATCAAGGAGAGAAGCAAACTAGAACTAAGAAGAAATGTCCTGGCAGAACAGTGGAACAACTTGCCTCCAGAAGTGGTGAATGCTCCAACACTGGAAGTTTTTAAAAAGAGATTGGACAACCATTTGTCTGAAGTGGTGTAGGGTTTCCTGCCTAAGCAGGGGGTTGGACTAGAAGACCTCCAAAGTCCCTTCCAACTCTGTTATTCTATTCTATTCTAACTGTTAAAGGATTGAGAACTATTTGGATCTTGAGTGCTACAAAGTTTGCTACAAGATAAGATCTGTCACCATTAGATAACAAGCATTGTGTGTGTGTGTGTTTTGAAAATCATTAAATTGTCAGATATGTTGATAGTACTGGAAGGTTGCAGGTTTTATTCATCTGCTGCTTTAGATTGCAAAATACATACATCTTGTATGCTCATAACTTCAACATGCTTGTGTTTTTCCACAGCCAACCAGAGAGAGGCTTGGCAAAGAGGTGAACCAATGTGAAGAGGATGAACTGATGGAACTTCTAGTGAGTATCAGTTTTTGTGAATGCCTTATTGTGGTATCATGCCCTTCTTTTAAAGATTATGGATCTAAACTGGGAAACCTTTATTCGGTTGCACATTACATAGGAGAATATTACATAAGCAGATAATGATGTCCTATGGTCCTAGCCCTAAGGGCAGGGCAAAAAGCAATGGTTGGAAACTAGACAAAGGGAAATCCAACCTGGAGCCAAGGAGAAATTTATTTACTCAGTGGAACAGCTCGCTTCCTGGAATTATGGGTGCTCTCTCACTGGAGGTTTCCAAGAAAAGATTGGGCAACCATCTATCCAGGATGAAATAAGGATGCCTTCTTTGTGCAGAGGGTTGTCCTAGATGTTTGTCTTTCCTGATATGTCTCCTTCGATACATATAAAGTGTGCTTCAGCTAAGTATATATCAATTGTTATTATTTGATTTATAATTTATTAAACAAAGACGATACAAGGCAAAAAAAATTGATTGACCCTATTCATCACAGACATTTTTCTAGACTTTAATGAAAACTCACCTCACTATTTCAATCATGAGGTTTTATCGAAATAATGAAAATTGTTTGCAAAAAGTATTAATTTCAGCAAAGTGTTTCCTCTAAGAGAACTTTCCAATTTCACTTATTGATATGTTTCGCATGAATCAAGAAGCTCAGCTCACCTCAGGCAATATAGATTTAGCATTAATATGGTGACAGAAAAAAATATTCCACATTTTTAGAAAAGCAAACACATTACTGAGGAAAACACTGACCTCATTTGTCCATAGTAGTCATAGAATACAAATATTGGTCCTGGCTCATTGCAGGAATGGACAATCATATGCAAACATATGACACACTAGAGATGGAATGGTAGGAAAACAAACATCCGGAAACAGGCAAGACAGTTATTTAAATGCAACACAAATCCAGACCAAAAAACTAGCTATGAGTTGTCTTCCTGTCTGACCATATCATTGATCACAAGCTCTGGTTAATTAACAAAAGCTTACATAAACTGCAATTCCATTTTTGCAAACATTAGCAAATCAAGATCTTGGAATAGTAAGATTAAATGCTGGCAAAGCTGTTTTGCAGGACAGGAGTTGAACAGAAGTCTATTTGAACTAAGTTTAGTTTGGTGCATTTCAGTCATTGCATTATTTGCAAACTCATTAAGTAGCATTAGATGCAAGCATAGCCACTATTTTTATGGCAGTTCAGAGAGCAAAGCCTTATCGCTTACACTCTGGGATCTAAACTAAACTAATCTAAACTTGTTTTTTGCCCCCAGAAAGAAATGCTTCCAGATCCAGAAGAATGTGAAATCTACGCCTTTCACTTTTCTGATTTCGAATGGACTGAACTTGACCTTGTAAAATGTGGCATTCAAATGTATTATGAGCTTGGAGTGGTGAAAAAATTCCAAATTCCACAGGAGGTAAATGGCAACATTTTTGCAGACCCTTCTTCAAATGTGGAGAATTTAAAAAAAAAAAAAAAGAGTAATGGGCACACTGTGGCTTTGTACTCATCTACTATTAAGTGGACAGTGGCATTTTGAACTTTTTATAAATGAGTTGTCTTTTTAAAAGGAATTTGTCTGCTTGGATTATATCCCACGTTTCTTTCAGTAGTCCAAAGCAGAACTCATCGCTTTTCTCCTCCAAATTTTCCTACAACTCTAGGGGATAGATTGCGTTGAGAGGCAGTTACTTATCCCAATGTCATCTTGTGGGCTTCCCTGTGTAAGAGTAGAATTAAACCGAGGTGTTCCAAGTCATGCGTCAAAACCTTAGCCATTCCACCAAGGTGGTACAAAATAAAGCAAAAACAAAAAAAAATCTGTACAGAGAGGGAATAGGAAGTCACATATACATATATTGAATGTAAATTATCTGAGGGATAGTAGGAGCATCTTAGAATTGCATGTAGATTTGAAATATCCTGCTCCTTGGGTAATGATTGCGCTTCTCAGTAGAACCAGAACCCCTGGGAAATTCCAGCTGGCCAGACTTTCTCTACCCAAAATCTCTAATTGCAATTTATAGGTTCTTGAGGTTCTTCAGGTTGTTCTCCTCCATCTATTTTTGAAAGCCAAGATGAACACAACATGTTTACAAGCATACAATCCATCAGCCAACCAGTGTTGGCTAACACTTTTTGACCAACTGTGGAGGACAGGGAAATGCCAATCAACCAATACTTGGAAGTTAGCTAATGATCAGTTACATCAGAGATGGTATTCAGCAAGTTCTGACCAGTTCTGAAGAACTGGTAGTGGAAGTTTTGAGTAGTTCGATCAACTGGGAAATACCACCTCTGACTGATGATTTTACAGTATCCTTCCCCTGCCAAACCACACCCACAGAACCTGTGGTAAAAAAATTTGAATCCCATCACTGAATTGCATACTTGTTTTTGTAAGCCTCCAGGCAAGGCATCATATAATCTGCAGGAGGATTACCAAATCCTCCTTGGATCTTTATCAATCTGGCAATTACCTGTGAGAGACAGTTAGTAGTATAAATAACTACTAAGTCTAAATTGGGACTTCCCTAGCAGCCATTTCAGGCTAACATCTTCTAAAACTTCTACAAAGTTCTTTTGAAACTTACTGGGTTCCCAAGATTTAGAAACCAACTGGCCATTGAAGGTGGAGGCCTAGGAGAAAACATGTGTATGCTTTCAGCCTTCCTTAGTAATGTGTATGCCCTAATGCATTATATTTAGATCAGGGGTCCCCAACCACCGGTCCCTAGACCGGTACCGGTCCGTGGATCACTTTTTACTGGGCCACAAAGTTTGTGCGCCGCCATCTTGTTTCGACGGCGCTTCCAGGTTTTCGGTTGCTTCTGGGTTTTCGGTTGGAAAGTGGCGTTTGGGTGCCCGTGCCTTAGTTTCGTCAAAGCGGGGCGGCGGCTTCGAATGAAGAGCAGTCCCGATGGCGGTGGAGTCTCGCGTTACTCAGGTACCGGTCCGTGGAAGAATAAATAATCGTGAAACCGGTCCCTGGTTCAAAAAAGGTTGGGGGCCACTGATTTAGATTATAAACTGCTTCAAAATTTTAAGTTCACAGTTCAGGTATCAGTGATCCAAATTAATGAATAAAATAAATTACGGGGTCACTAAGGAAAAAAGAGGTACAGGTAGTCCTTGACTTACCACCACAATTGAGTCCACCATTTATGTTGCTGAGTGAGAAATTTGTTAGTGAGTTTTGCTCTATTTTACAACTTTTCTCACCATGTTTGTTAAGTGAATCACTGCAGTTGTTAAATTAGTAACCCGGTTGTTACGTGAATCTGGCTTTCCCATGGACTTTGCTTGTCAGGTCGCAAAAGGTGACCACATGATTCCTGGGACACTACAATTGTCATAAATATGAACGAGTTGTCAAGCATCTGAATGTAAATCATGTGACCATGGTTATATTGAAACAATCGTAAGTGTGAAAAATGGTCATAAGTCACTTTTTTCACTGCCTTTGTAACTTCGAACTGTCACTGAATCAACTGTTGTAAGATGTAATATATTTCTCCTGAACATCTGAATACCAAAAATTGGATAAGAAACTTTTTGGGGGAGGGAGGGGGCAGTTTCTTTCCTCCTTTTGAGAAAATTGTGGCACATAAAACTGGTCTACACTGATTAACTCTTTTTATTTTCACAGGTCCTGGCAAGGTTTGTTTTTTCAGTCAGTAAGGGTTACCGAAAGATTACCTATCACAATTGGCGCCATGGCTTCAATGTTGCACAGACTATGTTTACCCTTCTTATGGTACGTCTTTACGGAGCCTTCTGTAGGGACGGTTTCAGTTTAGAGCCACTGTCATTCCCAGATGAAACTCTTACTTCTACCATTTAACTAGTATATAATTGTCTTTGCCCTTAAAACAGTGAAATTCATATCTTTCACTCCACTCCGAAATTCTTGATTTGTCTAAGTATCTACAACAATTTTTAGCTCAGATTTTCCAACCTCATTCTGGCTTAAGAGCCAAGGTTCAGATATTCCATCATTTATCAAGAAACTAGCTCTATACCCATGCTTCGCTACGAAACTATGTGACTGGGCTTAGTTTTTTTTTTTGGGGGGGGGGGGGGTAAGGGGGCAAAAAATGTGCCCCTGCCTTCCAGCATCCACCGGTACTCATCTGGCATCCTGTCAGTGTGTGAGAGAGTTTTATTTTATTTATTTATTTTATTTATTTGTCAATTGTTTACGAGATAAGTAAAAGTGTATACATAATTATGATATATAAGAAAAATAAAAGAAACAATAGGACAGGGACGGTAGGCACGTTGGTGCGCTTATGCACGCCCCCTACAGACCTCTTAGGAAAGGGGTGAGGTCAATAGTAGACAGTCTAAGGTTAAAGTTTTTGGGGTTTGGGGAAGAAACTACAGAGTCGGGTAGAGTATTCCAGACATTGACCACTCTGTTGCTAAAGTCGTATTTCCTGCAGTCAAGCTTGGTGCGGTTAACCTTGAGTTTGTATCTGTTGTGTGCTCTTGTGTTGTTATGGTTGAAGCTGAAGTATTCATTGACAGGTAGGACATTGCAATGTATGATTTTATATACCATGCTTAAATCAGACCGAAGACGGCGTAATTCAAGGTTTTCTAGTTCTAGAATTTCAAGTCTGGTGGCATAAGGTATTCTACAACGAGTAGAGGAGTGGAGAACTCTTCTTGTGAAATATTTCTGGACTTTCTCAATTGTGCTAATATCAGATACGTAATGTGGGTTCCAGACTGATGAGCTGTATTCGAGTATTGGTCTAGCAAATGTTTTGTATGCTCTAGTTAGTAGTGTGATATTACCAGAGAAAAAGCTACGTAAGATTAGGTTAACAACTCTTAATGCCTTTTTGGCTATGTAGTTGCAGTGGCACTAGCACTTAGATCATTAGAGGTGAGTATTCCAAGGTCCTTTACAGAGCTTGGATCATCAACGAGATCTTGACTATTCAGCTTGTATTTTATTTTCGGATTTTTTTTTGCCAATATGTAAGACAGAGCATTTATTTGTTGAGATTTGAAGTTGCCATTTGTTTGACCATTCTGATACACAGTCAAGATCTTCTTGAAGGGTAGCAGTATTGTCTGTGGTATTGAACAGCTTTACATCATCAGCGAAAAGAACGCAGTTGCTCTTAATATGATCACAGAGGTCATTTATGTAGAGTATGAAGAGAGTTGGTCCTAGAACACTGCCTTGGGGGACACCACT